CACATCTGTCCTCTACTTGCCATTCATGGCTCACTTCAAGTCCAAGTATTTGATGTCTTATCTGATCGGTCAGGGCTTGAGTGGACTCATCCCCAGTATTGTGGCCATCATTCAGGGTATGGATAGCGTTGCCATTCAACAGATTGTTTGCCATTTATCTTACGCTTTGCTTTTATACACTATTGCACAGGAATTGGAGGCAATCCTGAATGTGTTGCGCCGACAGCCGGGGCTAATACAACGATCGCGCACTACCCGGAGCCGAGATTCTCTGTCAGCGTATTCTTTATATTCTTATTGGTTATGGTTTTGTTGAGTTGGTTTGCATTTGTATTACTCAATCACCTGAAGGCCTGTCAATCAGAACGGGTCACACATAAGGACGACTCGGAAGTGGAGAATCAGTTGAAAGCAGTGACCGAAACCGTCAGATCGGACTCGCGTTCAGATAAGAGTTCCGATGAATTGCAACTCAATTCCGAGTCTTATCTGAACCGAAGTAATGATCGAAACATAAGCCGAAATGCATTCGCCGGTCTTCTCTTAACTCAGGCCTACATCTGTGCCCTCACTAATGGAGTCCTTCCCAGTAATTACTTTGAATTGTATTTCTATTAATTAAACAATTTTAATTCAATTCTTATGTATCAGGTATTCAAAGCTATAGTTGTCTGCCTTATGGAAACACTGCCTATCATTTGACAGTCACTCTGTCTTCTATGGCGAACCCAATCGCCTGTTTTATTGCCTTTTATATGAGCGCTTCAGTCATCAAGAAGACACTTCCGGCTGTCGTCGGTGTGGGAACTCTTTGCGCCGTTTATATCATAGTGACGGCAGTCATGAGCCCAACCCCTCCTTTACAAGACTCGACGTCCGGCAAAGTACTAGTAATTATTGTTTGGATAGCATTCACATCCCTGTTCTCGTACTCCCGCGCATGCATTGCGACTATTCTTCGCAATACAAGTACTGGTCATAAATCGCTGTTTTTTTGCGGAGTCTTCACGCAAATTGGTTCCACAATTGGAGCCGTTTTTATGTTCATTTTAACCAATTTTACCGCTATTTTTGTCCCATTCTTTCCCTGCAAATAATGGTTTAATTGTTTTATATGTACTTAATTTTAATTATTTATTAGCCAATAGTTGATGTGATTGTTATCTCAGAGACTAATCAGTATTTTATTGACCAATTGTTCAAATGTGTGAGAGATTTAGTTTTTATACAATGTTTGAATCTATTTTTGTGTTTAATAATCATATTTTTTTTATAGATATTTGGTTATCAGTGTATAAATTGGTTATTAAAATAAAAGTTTATTAATTATGACTTTTATTTTGACGACTGATACTATGTTTGAAGAATAGCTAAATATAATAACCGGTAATAAATTATAACAATATAACAATTTATTTAATTTATATGTCAATCAGTTTTATATTATATTTTGAAGTCTAGTTCAAAGTTTGTTTTATTTGTCAGCACTTGATTTAAAGACAATTCAATGGATGTATTAATAGTATTAAATTTGAATCATTATTATCTCAACAATGAATGAAAAATCTATGAATTTATAAAATTGCGTGATTTTTATGTCAAATGTTAGGAATATGTAAAAATTAAGTCAAATATTTATTTTTATATATTTGCAAAAACACCGATTCATTGATTGATTGATTGTTCTCTCATTTATAAAACATTTGTTATAAATATATATTTAATATTTTTATTGACCGATAATTTGTATTTTACTAAAAATTTTTAATATAATGTTTAAAAAGTTGTGTTAATAATTGAAAAAAGATTTATAATAACATGTTTTAAATAAATTGAATGTCATATACAATGAAAGACTGGATTTACAGTATATTTAATGACATAAAAATGAATTCAAACGGAGAGAAGAAGACATGAAATAATGAAAACTTAAAAAAAACTTTTCAATTGAAGAGTTGTATCGGAAATCAAGTTTAGGTTAAGATCTGTGTTATAATGTTTCGCATCACTTGTAGTGTTAAGTCTACGTAAGTATAAAGTATAGGCCTTTCAATGCAATGTATGTTATGTTACGTAAACACAACAATATCTATAATTCACATCTGTTTATACATTCATTGATTGCGTGACTGTTTTGAGGAGTGGGCGAAGAGTCACTTCATCTCTTCCAGTGATTCCAACAGCCGATTGTCGTCCAAAGTATTTTATCGACACTAATTTGTCGCCGAATTAATTGACTTCTCATCAAAACCACTGATTGAGTGATAGTTCCAGCGATTGAGTGAAGAGCTGGAGAGGAAGGGGCGCCACAAACGTGTCGGACGTACTGTTGTTTGTGAACTCATTTGACGTTAAAATACATTGAATATTGAGTTTTTGGACACAAAACACAAAATCTGTTCATTTGTTGAGAGAATCGATAAAAACCTTAAATTAATTGTATTTTAAATTATATTTTCGGTTAACTGTTATCTGTTTTTGTATCGATTGCCACAAGACATTGGATCAGTTGTCCGCACGTTTGGCATCCATTGGTTCACTAATAACTGATCCAATTATCGGTAAATTATGGCCGAAAGAAGAAAAACGAAGCGCAAGAAAGAGGTGACTAAACATCCATTTGATTGCCATTCAGTTATCATGCGTTCCGTGAATGCGGAGGAATACCATCTTCCAGACGGTTCCCAATGATATCTGAGCACCAATTTTGGTGACAATTGAGACCATATTGTAATAGATTTGTTGATCTCGTGTTTCAGTCGGACGCGGGTCTGGACTCCGATAAGCCCTCGAAAGTCGAGTACGAAATCGCAAAATATTTGAGATCTAAATTACCGCCGAAGAAGACAACACTTCTTTCCCATAGAGTCGACTATTTTATTGGTATTTTAAGACACATTTTGTGTGCTTTTGATTGCAATAAATGTAATGATTGTGTTGTTTGTGACGATAGCCTCGAAATCGATTGATCTGTTGATGGACTCCAAGTGGTCTAAAGACGACAAACGACAGAAGGAAGCGCTGTTCACGAGTCGCGAATCGGTGATGACATTCATGGATCAGATGCTGAGACATAAGTTCTTTCACAGAGCGAAGACTGTTGTCGTGAAGAAAGACAAGAAGAAGAAGGCGGACAACGAAGAGAGCAGTTGTAATGAAGAGCAGATGAAAGAGAAAAAGAAGTCGAAGAAAGAGTCGAAGGAATCCAAGGACTCGAAAGAAGTGAAAGAAACGAAAGACGAGAGCAAAGAGAAGGACGAGAAAGAAGTGGAGACCAAAAAGAAGGAGAAGAAGAAGATTAAACTGGATATGCATTTGGAACAGATCTTTGTCGATGAAAATGAGGTATTGATTTCCAAATTTGCTTTTGACTCGTAATGAACAGCCAATTGTGACCACTTTTATGTGACCATCGCTTCCTAAATAGCCATATGTCTGGATCTATGACCCGATTCCTCTGCGCACGTGGTTTATCGGTGCGGGCCTTGTCTTAGCGGCGATCGCTATCTGTCTGTTCCCTTTGTGGCCGCGAACTGTCCGTAATTATGTCTATTACCTGAGTATAGCGGCCGCCGGTTTGCTCTTCTTTATCATCGGTTTAGCCGTTCGTGAGTCCATTGTCTCCATTATTCTTAACATGTATTTTGTGTGGAAACTAATACCCGCTTTGATTGCAAACCTAACCTCTAATGGCATTGTCTATCACTCAATTCAGTTCGTCTAATAATGTTCACAATTGTATGGGTCGTGACGTTTGGTAAACACCACTTCTGGATGTTACCCAACCTCACAGAAGACGTAGGCTTTATGGAGTCCTTTTGGCCGCTCTATAAACACGACGTCAAAGACAACAACAAAAAGGACACTAAAGAGAAGGACACGAAGAAGAAGAAGAAAGAGGAGACGGCGGCCGACGCGACCCCTCTGTTGGTCGCCGACGACGACAAAGGCATCGATAATAAAGAGTCGGGTTCTGAGAGCGCTTCCACTGTCGATAGTATAGCGAAAAGCAATTCTTCCAATGAGTTGAACGCCACGAATGGTGTCAATGGCTTTGAGATTCTCGACTCCAAAGAGTTAGAGGACGACGAAGAAGAAGAAGCAGATGAATGAATGGCTCGACTCGATTGGCATCCATTTAATGACATAAATTATATATATATTTATTGGAATTTAAATTTATTGCTTGTTTTTTTGGGAATCAAAATATTATAATTATTAACCTTTTTTATGATTATTTATTGTAAGTTTATATATATTTTTCGTATTTTAATTTTCTTATCCAATATTTTGCTATTTATTTAAAGTCTATATTTCTGTCTAAAAAACAAATTAGTCTTTAAAAGAATTTTATACCAAATTTTTGTGTTTTAACCAAATGTTAACCAATTTTTAATTATAGTCTAAAATCTGATAATTATCCCTTTATTTTACATTTAATTTGAAGCTTTTATTTGCGATTTATAGTAAATATTTCCGAATTATAGGACAAAAATTGTACTGAATTTTCAAAAACTATCTTTTGATAAAATTTCAAATCGTATATCAAATGACTATTTTTTCAATCATTGATTTCCAATGCATTGATTCTGCAAAACATACAAAACATTTTAATTTGCATTCAAATTTTTATTCCCATATCTATTCTCATTAAGAATGACATTATTTTACAGAAATGTGGTTTATTTTAGGCAAATGTTTTTATTACAAACCTAGAAGTTGTTGAGCCAAACAAACATTTACATACATTTTTCATACAAAATGCAATCAATTTCTAAATGATATGATTTATTAGAACAACTAATTGACATAAATTTTAACGAATTTTTGCTGTCATTTTAGTGTTGAAATAAACAGATTTGCATTGAAATGATTGCTCAAAACAGTGTTCAATATGTGTTGAATTGAATGGTAATGCGATTATCATTGTTAAATTATAACTTTTGTAAATAACTCAAATCGTAATTAAAATTAATGTTTTAAATTTACTATCAGTTTATCAATATTTCTGTTTTTTTCGAATAAATTTCGTTTTTATGTTTGCTTACAAATTCGAATGAATTTATGTTTAACAACAAGATCTCTAAAACATTAACTGTTAATTAAACGTCTAATTGAATCAAAAAATAATCGTAAAATACTTTATAATAATGAAAAATAATTGAAACAAAACAAAATTCAGGTTTGAATTGAATGTGAATTTAAAAGTGATTCAAAAACTTAAAGAAATGTAACGAAACACTTATAGTGTTAACGAATTTGTTAAATGAATATTTTAAAAATAATAATAATTTGCATTATACACTTTACTGACGTGCTTACTATTCAAAGCCTTTATTTTACTTCTCAAGAGAATGCCCAATAGAGATTTACCGTCAGCCGTAGGTTTCCGGCAGGAGAGGGAGGACATACTTGGGCATAAGCAGTCCATTGTCTTCAGTCTCAGCGATATGTATCTCTGGATTGTCATCGTATCCATTGAACTCTTCATTAAATACCTGATTCATGGCATCAGCCAACGGGTCCACCGCTAGAGTCAAGTATAAAATTAATATAACACACAAAATGATATAAAATTAAAGTATTTACCGCCGTTGAAGTGGTTATCATAGCCCACATTAAACTCTTCGCCCATAAGGCCTGCGATGGCATTCTCGGTCTCTTTCGGCGCCGTATAACTATTCTTCTGGTGATTGCGTTCCTTAATTTTGAGCAGCAAATCGTCGAATAAATCCTTCAGATTTGCCACTTCTCTGCACACTTCGTCGGCGCCGACGGCGTGGTGTGTCTTCAGGTGAATCTTCATGGGCTCAAACTTTGTGATCCGTTTGCGACACGGTTTGCATTCAAAGTAACCAAAATCGGGCGAATGTTTCACCAGATGGTCCAATAGTGAGGTCAGGTCCTCAAAATCAAAATCATGTTCACAGAGACAACACTTATTGCGACCGGAGTTCCAGTCAATGGCGTGAGCAGACAAGTGGTGTTGAATGAGTCCTCCAAACACAGCACAACTAAAATCACAGAATTTGCACACAAATGGTTTTCCATAACGAGAATGAGACGACTTGGCGTGTCTTTAAGAAGTAAAATCATACAATTAAAACACTGTATAATAAAAAGAGTGATTGATTGGTATACCGTTCGAGAGCCAAGTAATCGGGTCCAGTAAATGGACAATTGAAGGCACACTTGAATGAGCGATGTTTTTGAGATAAATGGGCGAACACTTGCTCCTCAGTGGAAGCGGTGAATTGGTTGCAGTGATTGCATCTGTATTTCGGAGGTTTTAGATAATCCACTGTTTCGATGTGTTGATGCAAGTGTTGGTCCAATTGGGCGATTGACTCGCATTCAACTCCTTTGCATTCGTTGACTGAACAGCCGTATAGAATGGTGTGTTTGATGTCTAGCGGGTGCTGTTCTATCATATGCTGTTCCAACCGATCCGTATGATAGAAGATACCAAAACATACACTGCAATAGAGTTTCGTTTTGGATTCGGTCTTATGTCCGCCCGAATGGAGCAGAAGATTGTGCTTCTCATTGGTCGAGAAGTTACAGTATTCGCAGTGATATACAAACACCTCTTTTAGAGTCTCATTCTCTTTGTTCTGAGCACTGTTTTTGGCGCTTTTGTCAACCGTTTCCGATGCGCTGCTATCAGACGATTCCGAACGAGCCTTACGTTTGCGTGGCTTCTCATCCGTTTTCGCCTTCTTTGTCGTGTTTGGAGTTTTATTAACACGTTTAACAGCCGTCTTACTCTTTGTCGAACTCGTGGCCACTCTTTGGTCGTCATAATCAGAGCCCAAGTCGTCGTCCGATTCCTTCTTACGTTTATTCCCCGTTTGCGAAGTTTTCATTGAACTCGTCGTTTGCTTAGACGTTGAGTTATGACTCGTTTTAGGCGTCTTTTTATACAATGATCTTACGATTTCATTTACGGGTCTGTCGTCCTCTTCAGACGAACTTTCAGATAAATTTAATTCAGTTTTTCTAGACTTGGATTTTTTCAAAACTTTGGTTTTAATGCTCTTCTTTTCACTCTTCTTATTCGACGCTTCGGCCGATGGGGTGTCCTTTGAGTGCTCATCACTTACCGAATCGTCTAAAAACGAGATAATGCTTTCAATAGCAGCGCTATGTTTGGCATCTTTATCTTCTTCTTCAGTACTTTTGGCAAATAGTTGGTCGAAATCAATGTCACCGGCGATCGCGTCGTCTATAAATTGTTGCGAAGAATGTTTTAAACTGACAAAACACTGCTTACATATACCATCCGTATCATAGATTAACACATCATTAGATTCCGGTACTAATGGTTCCGGTGTCTCACGATTCGATGTCTGATTGGCTGTCGAACTAATAGCAGAGATATGGGACGAAGCGGACTGAGAATTGGAGGAATCGTCAACAGTAATGGTATCGATTGAGTGCCTCATTGTGTCTCCAGTTGTCTTCTTTACTTCAATCTTTGGTTTATGTGAATCATTGGATTCATCGCTATTTTGACGAACTCTGGCCCGTCTTTTGGAAATGTGGTCATCTGAAGAATCACCTGATATATCCATTTCCGAATCACTGGATCCGCCCGTCTCGTAGTCGTCGTCTGCTTTGGGTTTTGGCTGTCGTTTGGGTTTGGATGGATTAGATGTCTTCATGTCTGACTGAAGTCTTAGCACTTCTCTATAATTGGGGCCTTTCTTCTCCTTCGGTGTATTCACTTCTGGTTCGACCTCCACTTCATTGGCCTTCAAATTGGTTCCATTGATCTGAAAATGAAGAGTGAGTGCAGACATCCGTTGCTCCCAATCGCTAACTTTGTTCACAAAATTATTAATATCTCGAGAGATACTGTCATAAACAGTGTCCGGAATTAACCATTTCTTACACATAAATATATAAAAATAAGACACGTTTTCATTCGCACTAATGGCAGAAACCGATGAAAACAACTGTTTATCATTTTCGGGACACTTGTCGTCTCCGGTTTCCATTGTAATGTTCACCTTTGGAAGTGAGAACACTTCCTCCGCGTCTTCGTTCGCTTCGCACACAGTGTGTATGCTTTCGATAAAAATGGTTAATTCTCTTTGAAAGCATTCCTTCAATTCCTGAACAAATTGTAGCGGAAATTGTGGTAACACTACACGAATAGCATTGGGAATGCCGTACTGTTGGAACAAATTGAGCAAATGATAGCACAGCTTCCGAGCGCTTAAGTCTTCACAAACGCCGCAATTGAAAATCGATGACTTCGAAGACAAGTCTCGGACCACAAGAATCGAGTCGATGACACCGATTTCGATATACTTCCACAACTGAAACGTTGTCAACGCGTATTCTCTCGGATTGCAAACAATGCAGCGATTGATGACATCCTTGACGTCGTTGTCAATGGTTGGCCAGAAGTACTTGTTTTTGATAGCAGTGGCGGTCGCCTTAGCGCCTCTGTGTCTCGATTTGGAAGACTTTACCTTTGCGTTCAAATGGTATTCAACGGACAAATCTCTCATTCGTTGTTCACTTTCGATCACTTCTCTGCCTCTCATGAACAGCACATTGTGTTTAACTTTAAAATTTTTGGCGTCTTCTTTGAATGTGGTTTCTTCGTAACCAATGATTCGCTTTGTCTTCAAATAGATTCGTAACGATTCATAGAATTTTATGTCTGCTTCAGTAGTTTTGCCTCTAACTATAGGCGCCACCGGACCCGTTAGCCCTGTTTTACTCACTTTTGTCTCTTTACTTCCCGAAGGCATCGATAACCACGAGTCGATTGGTTTGTGAGACTCTTTACTGGAGTATGTGTTCAACTTTTCTGTAGACACCCGATCGCGAGTCGGGCTCTTAATAACAAGCTTTGGTTTCTCAATGACGGGCTTCGGTAATATGGGCTTCGCTCTCAACACCTCTGGCATTGGTTTAGCTTTCGATACCTCTGGCATTGGCTTAGCTTTGGATACCTCTGGCATTGGCTTAGCTTTAGATACCTCTGGCATTGGCTTAGCTTTAGATACCTCTGGCATTGGCTTAGCTTTGGATACCTCTGGCATTGGCTTAGCTTTGGATACCTCTGGTATTTGTTTTGTTTTCAATACGTCTGGTCTCGGCTTCTCATTGGCCAACTTGAGCTTTGAGGACGCGGGTCCCGGTCTCGAACCCAATGGTTTCACGTTTTCTACGACCGAACTGTGCTTTTGAGGGACAGGTTTCGGCTTATCTACAGATGGTATCGATTTTTCTACGATTAGTTGTGTCTTTTCAGCGATCGGTTTTGGATTCTCTGCGACCGGTTTCGGCTTTTCTGAGACGGGTTTCGGCTTTTCTGAGACGGGTTTCGGCTTTTCTGACACGTGTTTTGTCTTTTCTACGCTCTGTTTGGGCTTTTCTACAACAGGTTTTGTCTTTTCAACGCCCGGTTTTGGTTTAATGATAGGCATTGACATGTTTGCGGACGTTTTCGCCTTCTCTGCCACAGTCTTAGACTTAATGATCGCAGGCGTAGACATGTCCGGAGCGGGTCTCGGCTTCTCTGCGGTTGGCCTCGACTTCTCTACATTTAGCCCTTTATTTTGCGACGACTTATGCTTTTCTGTGCGATTCGTCGACTCTTTCATCGAAACGTTTGGTTTCTGAGTCACAGATCGATCGACAGAAGGCGTCCTAAAGGGCGGGTTCTTAGCGGACGCCATATTCTTGGCGGCCGTTGTCTTCTCAAGTGTCGACTTCTCTGCGGACGCCTTGTCTTTGCGAAAGAGCCGGTCGTCGACCATAGGTTTCGGTGCCTTCTCTTTGTCGAGCGTTGGCTTCATTGGCGCCGATGTGTGACCAGAAGGAGCCGTGTCTTCAACGGATCCGTCAAATGCGCCCAAAAAGCCCTCCAAATTGTCCAACGGATCCACAGAATCGGCGCCACTATTGTGGCCGTCGTTCACGTGTTGATCACTATCGTTGTCACTATCACTGTCTTCGGGCGGCGGCGCCGGTGCGGGAGTCACGCCGTCGTCGTTGGCATCGGACTCATCGTCGGTCATGAGTTCATCAACTGATCGGTGGTCACCGTCTCTGTCGTCATCGCTGTTGCGGTCATTCACCTCATTATGTGAGCCCTCGTTGTGGTCGTCGTTATGAGTGCTGTCGTCGGCGTGACTGCCGTCGTAGCCGAGGATCTGATCCACGTCTTCAAACGTCTCGTCTTCGATCTCATCGAAGTCGAGCTCTTCGTCGGCCAACAAGTCTGCCATTTGTGTTGTTTATTGTCTTTAACTCATGAGTGGCTGAAAAATGTGTTCACAAAAAGACAATAACATTAAAAAGTGATGAAAATGTGACACAAAATTCGTGTTTGTATTCGCAGTCAACCAAACGATCCCTTTGTTAGCCCACAGATGATTGGCTCCAATCGTCAGTTACTGTTATAGTGTTGTAACGGAAACAACGATTGGTCTAATCGTAGCACTCATTCATTAACTACGACTCAAATGATGCACTTTTGCGGAGAATTTAGTTTTGAAATGTGAGACAACTTTTTGGGCCCCAAAATGTGTCATCAGTTCATCACTTATTACGAGTCCAATAATGAATGTGTTATGCCATGTGTTGAATGCGTTATAATAACACTTTTGACGTCAAGTTCAAAGTGTATTCAACACTAACTCTATGTATGAATGCATAGAAAGTGGAGTCAAATAGAAGTCACGTTTATTGCGTTCGCCACTCATTTACGCGCCCTTTAAGTACAGTCTATTCCAGTTATTAATGACTATTTGATAGCCTTTACTGGAGTTAACGCTACGATTGCTGGCAATCAAGTGATTGACAACTCATAGACTGTCTCGCAATTGGTTTACAGTACTCTATAACAGGCGTTGACTGTATGTGTGGTGCGATTGAACGCAAAGCACACAAAACTTTAGCGAAGTTTTAAACACTTTGTTTTTGGATGCGATAAGTGATGGCCGAAGACATGGCAGACGTGGAAGTGATGGACGACTGGACTCCGATGGCCGACGACTACAACTCAGTGCTGATCAACAGCTACTCCAGCGGTCAGACGGCGGCCCAAATGCCGGTCCACGCGTTGCCGGCGGTCGGGCCGTCGCGAGCGGCCCATCGCTCCCACTATAAGCTACTCGTCGAAGGCTTTCCGTCCGAAGTGACCGAAACGGGTCTCAAGAATTTCCTGCGACGGATCGGCTGTCAGTCACTGGCCGTGAAGATCATGGCCTCGAAGAAGACGAGCGGTTCGTGTCGTCCGCTCGCAATCGTCGACTTCTCGTCCGCCAAAAGCGCCCAAAAAGCGATTGAATTACTGAAAGCACAGAAGGCCTACAAATTGGCCGTTCATTTCATATCAGACGCCAAACAAAACCAATTGAGGGAACAGTTAGTCACTCAAGAGATTGAAGATTTCGACCGAAGGGTAGAGCGAGAACTCGAAGACGAGTCCAAGTGATTGATTCCCTAAGAAGTAAAAGCGCTTTTTCTCTACAGTTTATATGTTATAGAAATGAATGAAAAGTTTATAAAAACTCGTAAACAGTTTATTGTAATTAAATGTATCGTTCAATTGATTTGATTGTGAAATAAAGTGAATTCTTTTATTAAATAACAAATTGGTTTAAAATTGTATTGTTTTTGCGTTTAAGATATAGTTTTTATAAGCATTTAATGAAAAATTTACTAAAAATATAGGTTTTGATACAATTGTAATCAGATTTAATAAATTGATTAAAATAGGAGTCAATCAAACAGTATATTATAAAATAACATTACATTATGATCGCAATTATGGGTCAGTGTTAGCCTTCTTGTCCGAAATCATTCATAAATTTCTTCAATTTGTCGAGATCTGAGTCGTTGACAGTGGGCTTCGCTTTCGATAACGACAACAACACATCCCTCATCGACATCACCGGCTCTAACAGCTTATCTCCGGGAACGTCAACCCATGACATCTCTTGGGCTCCGGGCTCTCCGGGCGAACACGGCGTCAACAGGTCGTCCACCATCTCTCCCGGTTCACTACGAGACGGACCCCTAACCTGAAAGGTAGCGACAATGGGTTAGAATTGAAAAAACCAATAATTAGTTTATACAATACTTTTTTGAAATGTGTGGCGCTCTGAACGATGCGCACGGGTTGCATGAGTGCGTCCCTCACGAGCACCGAGATGTCGGCGCCGGAGAAGCCGTGAGTCTTTTTGGCCAAAACCCTCATATCCTGATCGTTGAGAGAGTTGGCTGTGTTTCCGATATTGATTTTAATGATTTCTAGTCTTCCGTGTTCTTCAGGCAATGGTATGTAAATCCGTTTCTCGAATCGCCTTCTGATGGCTGCGTCCAAAACCCATGGGATGTTTGTGGCGCCCAACACGAGGACCTGGTCGTTATCATTGCCAACGCCTACCATATAGTCAACAAAATGACAACAAATTGCTATACAATTAGATGTCAATACAAACCTTGCATTTGGACGAGAAATTCAGTTTTGATTCTTCGCGCGGACTCCGACTCGGTGTCAGAGCGACTACTCGTGAGTGAATCGATTTCATCGATGAATATAATACTTGGTTTGTGCTGTCGGGCCATTTCGAACAGGTTTTTCACCAGTTTCTCACTTTCTCCCAACCATTTCGACACCAAATTAGAGGACGAAACCGAAAAGAATGTCGAATTGTTGGCTTCGGTGGCCACGGCTTTGGCTAAGTATGACTTTCCAGTTCCCGGCGGACCGAACAATAAGATCCCTTTCCATGGCTTCCGATTGCCAGTGAATAAGTGCGGAAACTTTATCGGAAGAATCACCGCTTCCTTAAGCGCCTCTTTGGCGCCTTCGAGTCCGGCCACGTCTGACCACTTGATGTTAGGCTTCTCGATGACGATCGCGCCCTCCAATTGATTCATCAGTTTCTTCTTATCCTTGTCCTCTTCGTCGCTGTCGTCGTCCTTATTATTGGCCGAATCGCCGGCTTTCACCGGTTTCTTGTCGTTCTTGTTATCGCCTTTATTGCGGACATAAGTCTTCAACTTCTCGGCTCTCTCTAAATATTGAACACATTTCTGTCGTATACTCTCTTTGGCTCTTTCGGACTGCGCCTCATCTGATGGACAGACATATCATTAGTGAAACATATAGTGGAAGACAATCAATGGTTACATTTGATTGCGTGAAGAAAGTACTCGACGGAGTGCTCGTACAGACGCAGCGCTTCCTCATAGTTCTTGTTCTTGTCTTCTTCGGTGGCTTTTGTCACCAATTCTATGGCTTTCTGTACAACACATCAAATCAGAGATCAATTAAATGTCAATAATTGCCAATCGTTTGGACAATACCTGAAGGGTTCCCGCGTTTGACATCACTTACGAATGGATCACTAAATCGACAAACAAATGGTTATTAAAATTGGTTTCAATTATCAATTCAAGTGATTGTGAGTTAAAAACAATAATTAATACAAAATAAATAACAATTGAAAACACTTTTCGCTAGGATTTCAATGGTTTGACTCAACACTCAGTTCAGGGATTGTCTCGTCATTACACATACATTGTGTCGATTGCGTCAGAGATCACACATACAGTGCTATTGTGCCAAAACTTTAGCGTTTAATAAGTTGTTTGAAAACTTTTTAAATTACTTTTTGCAACAATTTATTAATTGTTGTGCCGATCGATAGTCCGGTGTTTTGATAAACCCATAAATGTCTGAAAAGTTACTTTTAGTTTGTCATTGATTTTCACACTAAACGAGCAATTGATTGCTTAGAAACGATTGAGTGATTTGTTATCTCTGGCGATGATTTCATTCACATATGTTTCAGGTGTTGAGGCGTTATCTGAAGATTATTCACAATTTTATTGTTTAAAATACAATAAATGTTTAATCAATGAATTGGAAAATAGAAAGTGAAAGTAATTTAATAGATCTTCAGCTCATTAGCAGACCATTTGGTTCATTAAGTTTGCGTCAATTGGCGATCAAAAACTTATAACAACTTTCGTTGATAACAGTAAACCACAATATTTTTAGAAATAAAATTATGCTCTTTTAATGTTTTTTTATTGATATTATAAGTTATAAAATAAACTGCATGGTAATTGATAGTCATAAATGAAACTGTAAATGATCATGATGAAAAGTTCTGAAATGTTCATTGGCAATAGGAATATAAAATTGTCAAACTTTATTACAATTACAGTAACTTATAATGAAGTAAAAAATAATTAAAATATAAACCATTTATTGAATCCTTGTTTTATAATTAGTAAAAAAAATGTGTAAAACTTATTGTCAATAAGTTATTGAAAGGCAATGAACTGTAAGTTAGATTCAAAAGTTGCCTCAAATTGTAAGCATAGGTTAGGTTAGAAAGGGTTGTAATGTTTGCAAACAAGTCTAGCGTTGAGATCACATGACATTCATATGGCTTTCAATGATAAGCAAAGGACAACAATATATCGTTTTTGTCATCCAATTATTTGACACTCAATTTAAGGGCACTTTAATTGCAATTAAATTTTGTCACAATTAATATCGCATTGAAAGCAACGATGACTTTAATAGGAAGACAATGAGTGAAAGTGCGAGCATTTTGGGCAAAATAATAGTCGGTTTGTATTGAATTGATGTTTGAATTGACATCTCTGTGAAGATGTCCTGAAGTTGTGATCATTTATTAATTGTCAATAACTTGTAAATGTGCCGAAAAGGTGGCGGAACCGGATTTATTGGCCGTCATATTGTGGACGCCTTACGGGCGGCCAAAAGTGATGTTTGGATTGTCTCCCGAATGCCGGCCAATCAGTCCCTCACTTGGGTTTGTCTTCATATTTAATTCCTCTTCAGTTTAATGTTTTATTAGTTATTTTTGAAATATCAATGAAATACTTGGCTATGAATTGCCAAAAAAACAAAAGTTTTATTTTTAAACAATCAGTTATACAATAAGTTTCAGCGACGATAACATTAATTAGACGTTTTCGTCGGTATCGTTGGTCAGTTTGGACGTGATGTCAGACATGAGATGATCCCAACTCCAGCCGATGTCTTCTTCTCTCACTTGATTCTCTGGGAGACAGAAGTGAGTCAATTGAGTCAAATCGATGCCATCCAGTGATGTGAACGCCGACTGTTTTAATACATTTTTATCCAATTCTTTGAAACTAATGATCTGATTGTGAGCCGTCGGCGGTTCGGCCACTGTTTGTGTCATCTCATAGTCGTTCACCTCTTGGAGATCGGGAATCATTGGCGTCACGTCGTTGTCCGAGTCGTCCATCAGTTTCTGTTTGTTTGCATTCATTTGAATGTTACGGATCTGTTGGATGTCATCGGACGTGTCGTCGGCCCACGTGGCCAGACGTCGCGGTCGAGAACCCGACTATATTTGTCATTCAAATTATATAACATTTTTAATGATTTGTACTGAAATGTGGTACCGGAGGGACAGGCGATATATCGGACGTATCCATAAACGTATCGTCAGAATCGGGGATTGGATTCGCGAATCCATTGCTTTGTTTACCGAATAGAGAACTTCTTCGCCTTTGATTCCTCGAGTTTCCTAACGTTTCCGACGAATCCAATATCAAATCGTTATCCATTTGCTCCCAATTTTACATCAATTTTAGTGAAAACAAAACTTGGTTTCTATGGAAACATACATTTTTTGCGTTTAACCCTCAAACTTATCTGTTATTTATTGATTATAACAATTTATAATGTATTTTAATAGAAAATGTTTTGATGACAATTCAGAGCGAAGTGCAATCGGGTCTCCCGGAAGGGACGAGAGCTGTGGTGAACGTCTCGGGACAGAATGTGTTGGATTACAAACGCAAGTGGACGGAAGGATTCAAACAAAATGTCTTCAATAGTCGCATTGAAACGACCAAATTGTTGGCAAAGTCTATCAAACGTATGGCCAAAAAGCCGGACGTATTCGTCACCATCTCTGGTGTGGGCGCTTACGAGCCGAGTCTCACCAAAGAGTATACCGAAGAGAGTGAATGCGGTCACGACTTTATGGCTCAGTTGTGTCGCGAGTGGGAAAACGCAGCGATTCTTCCGCCAGAATTAGGCGTTAGAAATGTTATCATTAGATCGGGAGTTGTTTTAGGAAAAGACGGAGGTTTTCATTCAATTGATATTTTGATTAAAACAAACAGAATTAACAAAGTATTCCTCAATCATTAGGTATTGTAAATGAGATATTCTACCCCTTCTACATGGGTTTGGGCGGACCCATAGCCTCTGGCAAACAATACTTCCCATGGATTCATATCGACGATTTGGTTAACCTCTTCCTCTTTGCCATCGAAGAGAAACACGTGAATGGAGTCCTTAACGGCGTTTCGCCGCAACCGATCACTAACTACGAGTTCACCAAAGGTTTGGACAAATTTGTGTTTAAAATAGTGTTAAAACTTGATTATCTATTCACTGGTAAGCTGTGGGCCGAGCGATGTGGAGACCGACTCTCATACCACTGCCCGAGTTTGTGGTGAAACTACTGTTTGGTAGCGAACGGGCGGTAATGATGACCGCCGGACAGAAAGTGATTCCTAAACGAACGCTGCAATTAGGCTTTCAATATATGTTTCCTCATATAGACAGCGCCTGTAAGTCTATATTCTAGTCATCGATCAATCATTTTAAACAATAAATTTTCAAATATAAATGCAATTTAAATCTATTTATTTTAATACTTTAAATATTAATCCCATTTCCAGATTAATAGTTAACCCCAATTCTTATAAACAAAACAATAGTTCAGTGTTTATATACATAAATATATTTACGGCTCAATTAGAAAAACGACATTTCGTTTTAATTTTTTATACATAAAACTTCTGCATAACTTATATTAAACTTATTTAATGTATAATAAAAATATCAAATTTTATAGCAATAATTATGTTTAAAAACAAACAAAATCTGTTCAAACACTTCGCTCCTGAAGTGATTCTATAGTTTAATTTAATGGCAAAATATTTATACTCATTATTACGTAAAAATGTTGTCGAAAGTGAGGCACAGATTACTCGTACCCACAGATTATGGATGTTATAAGTTATTGTGTTATCAGAACCTATTTAATGGCCGTTCCTATTGCCAGGACGTGACCGGAAAGTTACTTACGTCCGACTGTTCCGTCACGTCATTGCCGTTGTGTTGATACGAGAGCCTGAGTCTCATCTTCAGCTGATTCTGTGTTTCAAAATAAACGTAAATTCAGCACAAATTCATGGAGAAAGTGGCGAACAAATCAAATGATACCTTATTTGGGTTCAATACTCTGATCTCTTGCACAACAGCACCCGAATTGTTTTCGCCGATTCGATTACTCGACGGCGGCATTAGTTGTAATTGGAATGTCTATCCATTCAATCAATTCAATGGTTAATATGGTATCAATTATAACAGCAATTATAGTTGTGATTGCAATTTGTCATACCTTAGGAACAGCGGCTTGGAATAGGAAGTCATCCATTGGATGGGGACTGGAATTGGTGGCCAACAATGATATGATAGTTAGAGACGAGTTATCGGCGGGTCTTTCGAAACTAAAATCGATTTTTAATCCATTCTTATTAAAAGCGACGATCGATTCAATCGAGTTATTAATTTGTTCAATAGGTTTGACATCATTTATAAAACCGTCGAAAAGATTATTGATTTGCGTATCATTTGCTATATTATTATTGACGAGCGGAGGAATGCCGAGCGGGTTGTGATCAAACGGTTGGCTTGGATTCAACTCAAGTCCTTCTAAAAGGTCTAAAACGTTATTAGCTGTCGATTGCGATATTGGCGTTGATTTAATTGTTTCAACACTTTTTGCGGGCGAACCCAAGTCTAAGAGTTCCAGAAGGGCTGAACTGCTCGTCTTATCGGTTGATTTAGTGTTAGTAGTGTTGCTATTAGTGTTATTATTACCGAAACTATTGGTCACGATGTCATTGTTATAATCGTCTTCAGCGGTGTCTCCATTTTGAAGGCCATTGCGTTTGTCTGCCCTAACAGTCATGGGAGGCATCCGCTCGAGAAGACTGGTTCTCAAGTGATTGTGTTTACTAAAGAGTGAGGCGAACTCAACGGCCCTCTGTTGCAGTTCTACGCTGTGATCGCAACCAAAGACATCAATTATACTCTTAACGCGCGGAGCAGTGTTCGGATATCTGGCGCTCAGTTTGATTAGAGCGCCGATTGTGTACTCTCTAGTGACTAAAGACAGACCGCTTTCGATCAGCAGTTTTTCGCATTTGTCGATCACATCGTCTTCCTTCACATCCAACGCCTCTATAGGATGCGAATCGTTTGAATCCAAGCCATCGACCGGAACTGTTAAGAGGTCAGCGAACTCGCCCAACGCCCACATCGCCACCTGAATCATCGGCTGTTTGGACTCTAAGTCTCCGATGAGTTGTTTGTATAACTGTTGGACGGCATAACTGTGCAGCGAATTTGTGGCTGATATTAATTCTATAAGACTTCCGACCACATCGTCTCGGATATAATTGCCAGCCTTTCAATGCATTTAATCGTTAAATTCAACACTAAATATAAGACTAAATGAATGAATCAAACAATACGTACTGTCGTTAGTATTTTGATGACTGTGTCGATGTGCCACTTATGGCCGGGAGAGTACTTCTCGGCACTGATGCACAGATTGGACGACACAATCGACTTGAATTCCGGATCAGCCTTTTCCAGGAATATTATCAATTCCTTAGACATCGTTCGGATATTATTTGTATTAATTAATGCGAAACACAATTCCATAGCTTTCTTGCGGATCGAAATGTCGGGGTCTTTGAGACACTCGACAATCGTTGTTCGGTGTCTTTGGACAGCGTTGTAATCGGCGCTCACTGTCTTCAGGAGAGTAGTGAGCGCTACGTAACGTATATTTTTGTCGGTGTTGAGCAAAAATCGACCCAAAATGTTGACTCCCAGAACCCTTAGACCGCCTTCCGATTTGATTTCCATAATAGAAATTACCGTTTCGTACAAAATAGCGTTTCCAACATTTTTACTACTCTCAGTATTTGTGGCCACCTTTTCATTAGACATTCAATTAATCAGACATTAATCCAAAGATGTATAAAAACAAAACAATTCAATGCAAACCTGAGCTAAAATATCATTCATTGTTTCACTGCTTTCGGAGTCATTTCGCCCCAAAAGCCGCAAAAGGCGTAAGATTTTGATTTGAAGGAATGGATCGCTGACACCACACACGTCGTGTTCGGGCGAATAGCCGGCCATTATTAGGTTCTTTAGGATTCTCACCAGATTTGGAACCATCTGTTTATGTAATTATTTAGCATTAGATTCACATTTAACATAAGACACAAAAACAGACACAAACAAAAAAGCTTAGTCTAAGGGCACAGGAATATAGTGACTGAAGTGGAGACAAACCTCAGTGGACTAAACATTAGTCCAGTGTATTAGTGAAGCGTTGGGTTAAAAAAGCAGACAAAAAACAATTTGACAAAATATTCACACAAAATACAGACAAATAATTGGATTCAAACATCGCTTATAAGTTATAAGACAAACCTTTTTGAAATAACCTAACGTTTCGTTACTTTGTTCACACATTTCTGTTATCAAAATAATTCCAGTTATAAGACAGCCTTTTAATGGAAGAGACAAGTGATTAGTTTAGTAATCGATGGATAATATATAATCAATCAAACCATGATTTTTCTCAGTGATTAGACTTCTAGCGGCGGGTAAAAACATTTCCATCAATTCAGGAGCTTTGCGGACAATCTTCGCCGCACATAAGGCCGCCTTCTTCTTGATATAAGTGTTGGACGATTTCATGAGTCGTTCCACTTCTCCGGCTAAGTCTCGGCTCATCTCAAGCGAACAGATGGCTCCCAAACAACAGAGGGCTAATCCGACCACAAACTGGGTTTGAGAGTTCAAATCACTGAACACAACGAGGGTTTTAAAAACACATTATAGTCACTGAAAAGCATATGTTATATCAAATCAAATACTTCTTAAGCGAGTTAGTGATGAGGAGATGAACGTCTTGTCGCTCATCCAACAGAAGCATTGCTCCTAAATATCCGATCCGTTTGTCTGTATATCGCGGCGAAGCAATCAATTTAAGGCATTCGAGCTGTCGATGCATTTATTGGCGTTTAGTATCGGGTAATGAAATGGTCGAGAGAGTAGTGATGGGAATGCCATACCTGTCCGAAATGTGCCGGATATCCCAACATATGAATGTACAACAGTTTGGCGACATTACGACACCGCCACGCGTTGTCCTCTTCGCGAAACGTGGAGCGGATGTACGCGCACTCCTTCTGCACAACTGACCGCTCGTCGGCCGCCGTCCGCGCGGCACGGATTTGACGGATCAGATCGCGTAACCGCATCGGCGTCGGGATGGCTGACGTGAACCTGCATTACAACAAGCGTTACATATAATCCATTCATTCAAATGCAGTCATTATAGTGTCAGGCGTTGAACGCAATGGTTATCAAAAGGCAAACATTGAAAATGATATCAATATTTAATGAAAGCGATTGTCATTGCATTCAAAGTATGGTAAACAACACATCACTCGCGCTAAGCATTGGCTCAACAAATGTGTGGCTAATTATGGGACACAACAATACCTGGAGAGTAGAGCCGACTGTAAATCCATGTGTGAATCTGTGGCCGCGATTTAGACTATGATATGAATGAATGGTAACTAAAAGACAGGAGAAGACAATACAAGAGATGCCAGTGTTTTGTTGGTATGATTTGTCTCACATTCAGTGCCAATGAGTCAAACACTATAACACTATTACAGACTGTAATGACTGTGCAGTCAAACACCAACCCATCAATGATGTCACCGCTTGTGTCCGCACAACACATCCCACAACACAAACACTCCATTCATTGCACACCAAATCAAATGTCCATTTATTTTGACGTTTTTTATGCCCAAAAATTGTTGAATATTTTTTGCTCGTGTTTTAAATGCAATTCATATAAAATGTCATTCAATTCGTGTCCATAAATAATATATGACTTAATGGTAATTAAAAGTGCATTTAATTCATCATAAGTTTTAATAAACTTTTGATGCGTTCAACCAATCAGTGAATGAAACGATTAAATGAATTATTTATACAAAAAAAACATATGTTTTGTTTGTTTGAGTGATTCAATGGAAACAGAGTTTTATGTTTTCATTCATAAGTATTGAAAGCATTGAACGTATGGTTGAAGTGAAGGCACAGAAAGTGTGGACCGAAAAAAAGTTGTGTTTATTTTGAACGCAAACATTGTTTTCATCGCTTTTTCGCACCAAAAGCTTATGAGACGACTGTTTGGCCACTAATTGATGTGCTTTTCAAACAACACAACCATTTGTTTGCGATTCAATAGATTTATTTGTTTTGCGATTGAATTGTCGCTAATTTGTGGTCAAATTGGGATATGATTTGCTGTTTGAGACATCATTTGGACAAAAGTCTTCACCAAATGATTAAAACACATGCAATGAGTCGTACTTTGAGTGCGATTTTCAAACACTTCCATAAATAATATATGACTTAATGGTAATTAAAAGTGCATTTAATTCATCATAAGTTTTAATAAACTTTTGATGCGTTCAACCAATCAGTGAATGAAACGATTAAATGAATTATTTATACAAAAAACATATGTTTTGTTTGTTTGAGTGATTCAATGGAAACAGAGTTTTATGTTTTCATTCATAAGTATTGAAAGCATTGAACGTATGGTTGAAGTGAAGGCACAGAAAGTGTGGACCGGAAAAAAAGTTGTGTTTATTTTGAACGCAAACATTGTTTTCATCGCTTTTCGCACCAAAAGCTTATGAGACGACTGTTTGGACACTAATTGATGTGCTTTTCAAACAACACAACCATTTGTTTGTGATTTAATTGTTTTGTCTGTTTTGCGATTATTAACAGCGATTAAACACCAGTTTAACCCTATACTAAACGACAAACTCTGTAGTAAACCTGTTTTCAGAAGTGGTTTACTAATTTTGTGTACGTTACTCAGCATGAAACTCACGCTAAAAGTTTGTGAACTCAAACAGAGATGTCTTTCAAACCATTTGTATAATTGATTGAAATTTAGGTTTTAATTGTTTTTATTGACAACTTTTCTATTGATTTGTCAGATAAGAGGCGATTGTCATCGATGTCTGTGTCGACGCCTCGACCGTCGCGGGCGCTGTATTTGGACGCCCAGTCGACCACTCCATTGGATCCGCGAGTGTTGGACTCGATGTTGCCGTTTATGATCTCAATGTACGGCAATCCGCACTCGAGAACCCATTCTTACGGCTGGGAGACCGAGAAGGCCACAGAAGACGCGCGCAAAAGTGTGGCCGACATTATCGGCGCCGACCCTAAAGAGATAATCTTCACGTCCGGCGCCACCGAATCCAATAATATAGCGCTCAAAGGGTGCGCCAAGTTTTACAGAGAGAAAAAGGATCACATAATCACCACTCAAACAGAGCACAAGTGTGTCCTCGACTCGTGCCGTTATCTCGAGAACGAAGGCTTTCGTCAGTGAATAGAAGGCCAGGTCAGAAGCCCGCAATAACTATACTTACAGAACTCCCTACGCTACTTACTCTCCTGCAGAAACCAAAGGTAATACCGGCAGTTGTTGCTCTAACCTCAGTTTGTTGGCCTTAAAGAGATCGGAGAGTTGTGTCGATCCAAAGGTGTGTTCTTTCACACCGACGCCGCGCAAGCCGTTGGAAAGATTCCCATTAATGTTAACGATTTGAATATCGATTTGATGTCAATAAGTGGCCATAAAATATACGGCCCGAAAGGCGTGGGCGCTCTTTATGTGAGGAGAAGACCCAGAGTTCGCGTCGAAGCTCTGCAAAGCGGTGGCGGACAGGAAAGGGGGATCCGAAGCGGAACAGTGCCGACACCATTGACCGTTGGTTTTGGCACCGCCTGTGCTATCGCTCAACAAGAGCTCGAATACGACCACAAATGGGTTGAATACCTATCGAAAAGACTTGTCAATAAAATAAACGCCGAACTAACAAAAGTGATCCGAAATGGAGATCCGGACCATTCATATCCCGGATGTGTTAACCTATCGTTTGCTTACGTTGAAGGAGAGAGTCTTCTGATGGCGCTGAAAGACGTGGCCCTCTCGTCGGGCAGCGCTTGCACTTCGGCCTCATTAGAGCCCTCTTATGTGTTGAGAGCTATCGGTTCGGACGAAGACTTAGCCCACTCTTCCATTCGCTTTGGAATCGGAAGGTTTTCTACCGAAGAAGAGATAGACTATACGGCCGAGAAGTGCATTCATCACGTGAAGAGGTTGCGGGCTATGAGTCCTCTGTGGGAAATGGTTGAGGAGGGCATCGATATTAAGACTATTAAATGGAGCCAACATTGAGTTCAATTCGATGTCAAAACGAATGATTTTATTTGTATTTAACTAACAGTTGTTGAAAGCAATAACTTATGAGTTAGAAGTCTAATCCCACTCCCGACCGGTCTGACCGGACTTGTGATGCACTCAAACTATTCTATGTATAATTGATTAATTGTGAGACATTT